CAGAAGACTTCATGCTCATCTTAATCTTTTGCTATTCATCAGGCATATTTTCAAATAAAAACCTAAGTGCAAACCCTTCACTGGGAATGTTCTGGACACTGCAATAAGTTCATAAATATATTAACCTGCTTGATGGGGTTCTGGGAGTTGTTCTACTCCAAGTCCGGCCCGAGGCCAGGCTCGACTTGTGAGAGTTTGGTCCCCCAGGCTGTTGCTTGGAACGGCCCGCAGGCCCACATACCCACCACAGCCCAGCTGATCCGGAACTTCTCTTAGAAAACAGACCAGTTTTCTCTTGAAGATGTCCACGGTTGTTCCGGCAATATTTCTTATAGTCGCTGGGAGGACGTTGAAGAACCGCGGACCTCTGATGTTTATATAGTGTTCTCCGATTGTGCCTATAGCACCTCTGCTCTTCACTGGTTCAATCTTGCATTTTCTTCCATATCGTTCACCCCAGTATGTTGTTATTTTACTGTGCAGATTTGGGACCTGGCCCTCCAGTATTTTCCATGTGTATATTATTTGGTATCTCTCTCGTCTCCTTTCTAGAGAGTACATTTGGAGAGCTTCGAGACGATCCCAATAATTTAGGTGTTTTATCTCGTCTATGCGTGCCGTATATGTTCTCTGTATTCCCTCTATTTCAGCAATCTCTCCTGCTCTGAAGGGAGGAAGTGAGTATCAAGCAGTACTCGAGACGGGACAACACAAGTGACTTGAAGAGTACAACCATTGTGATGGGATCCCTGGATTTGAAAGTTCTCGTAATCCATCCTATCATTTTTCTGGCCGATGCAATATTTGCTTGGTTATGCTCCCTAAACGTTAGATCGTCAGACATCATTATTCCCAAATCCTTGACACGCTGTTTTTCTACTATGGGAAGATTTGATTGTGTTTTGTACCTTGTATTATGTTTCAGATCCTCATTTTTTTCCTTCCTGAGTACCTGAAATTTATCACTGTTAAATATGTTATTTTCTACTACCCAATCGAAAACTTTGTTGATATCTGCTTGTAATTTTTCAATGTCTTCAGCAGAGGTAATTTTCATGCCGATTTTTGTGTCATCTGCGAAGGATGACACAACGCTGTGACATGTATTTTTGTCTATATCTGATATAAGAATATGGAACAGTAGCAGTGCAAGGACTGTACCTTGAGGTACAGAGCTCTTAACTTCGCTTGGACTATTTTATTTGAGCGACTGTTACTCTTTGTGTTCTGTTCGACAGGAAATTGAGTATTCAGCATCCTACTTTTCCAGTTATTCCCATTGACCTTATTTTGTGAGCTATCACCCCATGGTCACATTTGTCGAATGCCTTTGCAAAGTCTGTGTATACAACATCTGCATTTTGCTTTTCTTCTAGAGCTTCTGTGATTTTGTCATAGTGGCTGAGTAACTGTGACAGACAGGATCTTCCCGCTCTAAATCCATGTTGTGCAACTCCTCGTTTTCTATAAAACTAGAAACTTGATTCCTAATCACTCTTTCACTTTTATTATGTGTGATGTTAGTGCAACTGGCATATAATTTTTTCCAAGGCTTCACTCCCCCCCCTTGTGCAAAGGAGCTATATCTGTAGATTTAAGTGCTGCTGGTACAGGTATCTCACCTGTATCTAGGCTCTTTCTCCATATTACGCCGAGTGCTCGCGCTAATGGTACTTTACATTTCTTTATGAATATCGAATTCCATGAGTCAGGCCCAGGAGCCGAGTGCATAGGCATATTGTCAATTTCTCTTTCAAAGTCTTCCGAGTTTGTGTTAATATCCATTATATTATCTGCAGCTTGAATGTCATTCATAAAGAAGCTGTCTGGGTCATCAACTTTCATGTTGTTTATTGGTGTGCTAAACATAGCCTCATACTGGCTTCTTAGAATTTCACTAATCTCTTTGTTGTCCTCTGTGTACGTACCTTCATTTGTAATTAACGGTCCAATACTGGTCGAGGATTTTGATTTTGCGTATTAATGTAGCTAAATATATTAGTTTTATTAAATTAATATCTTGAGTAGCTTCCTATAACTTAAAAACACTACACCGTATTCAGCAGCTTAGTTCAAATACTTTATATGTTTTAATTCACCAATACATATACACTATATGTATTTTTATTTTATCTGCATTCAATATATTTTTCTGATCAGACAAATACAGTATGGCATTTATGTTGCATTCCACACATTAGCAAATACAGTATGTTAATTGCTAATCTGCTTTAGCATTTAGTAAAAAAGCTGTCTATTCTCACCTAGTCTAGTGTGTACTAGTACCAACAAACTTTTTTTATGAAATACAAACACAAACTCGAGCAGTTTTAATACTTTGTTACTTATTCTCCTGCAAAAGTCAATTTACTACTACAAAATACATTTATTTAAAGTTGCATTGTATTAAACTTGGCCAAAATCGTCTCCCATTTATTTAAGCTCATGCATCACTGACGAAAATACTAGAAGACAGACGAACCGAGTCCCTTTCTATATACCCCGGGTCTGTTGGTGGTGGTGGCGATATATACCCCGGGTCTGTTGGGGGTGGCAATATATACCCGTTCTGTTGGTGGCGACGATATATAACCCTAGGTCTGTTGGGGGTGGCAATATATACCCGTTCTGTTGGTGGCGACGATATATAACCCTAGGTCTGTTGGTGGTGGCATTATATACAGTACCCATTCTGTTGGTGGTGGCGATATAGGCCCCTGGTCTGTTGGTGGCAATATACTGTATGGCCATGCTCATATATGTTGGTAATGGCAATATATGCCTCTGTTCTCTTGATGGTGGTTTATATAGCTTTCCTCACTTCGCAGGGGTTCTATATACCCCACACTCTCACGGTGGGCATTCTACATACCCACACACTGCTGGTGGGTGAGGGGGGGGGGGTTCTACATACTCTCACACACTTGTTGGGGGGGGGGAAGGTTCTATACACGCCCACACTGCCAGTGGGGGTTCTATACACCCCCACACTGATGGTGGGGGGGTTCTATACACCCCCACACTGATGGTGGGGGGGTTCTATACACCCCCACACTGATGGGGGGGTTCTATACACCCCCACACTGATGTGTGGGGTTCTATACACCCCCACACTGATGGTGGGGGTTCTATACACCCCCACACTGATGGTGGGGGTTCTATACACCCCCACACTGATGGTGGGGGTTCTATACACCCCCACACTGACAGTGGGGGGATCTATATACTCCACACTGGTAGTGGGGGGGGGTTCTATATACCCCTCACAGACAGTGGGGGGGGGTTCTATATACCCATCTCTGTCAGTGGAGGGTTCTATTGTATATACTCCATCTCTGTCAGTGGAGGGTTCTATTGTATATACTCCATCTCTGTCAGTGGGGGTTCTATACAACACTCTTTGCAGAGTACTGTACCTTTAAATTATAACTTTGTGAATGGTCACTCCTTCACTCCTTTGTGAAGGAGTGAATGTTGTTGTTGTTAAAAAAAAATAGCACATGCATCAAAACTTTAATACATTAAGTAAACCAAAGTAGATATCATTAGAACAGAGACAAGTTAGTAAGTGACGGGTTAGATTTAAGCTTTGCATGTCCACTCTTTAATAAAAAAAAAGGTGATTACCATAAATTTGTGTATGTTACTTATTTCAAGTTTGCCTTCCTGCACACAGATGGATATTTACGCTTGCACCGGAAAGGTGAGCTTCTACGATTGATGTAACATTCACAAATATAAAACGAAACATGTTAAGTATTGTTAGATTTAAAAGTAACATCCATATTATGAAACTGACTTGTTATATTATTTTAATAGGAAGCAGTGAACTTCAGTCCCCACTTAAAGCCATCATACTGTACTAACATATACAAATGCCCTAAATTTGAGACCTTTTATTACAAAAGATGATTTAATTACTTGCAGGAATATAATTACCTAGCAATCCATGTACACTATAATCATGAGAATCCAAATACATAGGATCCAGTGAGTTACATTCGTGAGAGTTCCAGAAAACTGAATGCCTATGTTGCTGCAATACAATATATGAAAATATTTGAAGAATAATCAATGTTTCAGACTCAAAATAAAGCAGAAAGTCAAAGAAAATTAATACAGTAATTATCCAAAGAATAAGAACTATAAAGAACACACTGACCCATATATATACATGGACATGTTATTTCCACTAAAGTGAAAATCACAAGGGCTGATGAATATGTTTTCAACCAATCCTTTATTTGCATCAGAAAATGGGTAATTTGGGTACTGGATTCTCAGGGTTATCCTGTACTACTTCCTTTCTCATATAAATGTGGTAGATCAAACACTAAGAAGCAACTCATTCCAATCTTGTGTATCCTTTGTTTATATACTGTACAATGAACCCAAATAAACACATTCTTCCATACAGCTTGTACATCTCAATCATACATGGTACTCAAAGCCGATTCACACGGCAAGACATATTATAAAAGTACAAAATCATCATAACATTACTTTTTTTCTACTGAAATACAGTACACGAGTTTTGTAGAGAAATGAAAGCCTCATTCAGTGAATTCGAGTTAGTCATGCTAATCTCCTACGGAGTTCTGATCATGTTCATAGTTCTCTGCACTGCCCATTTGAGTTATCTACTTTTATTACTAAATTATATTGTACCACAGAACAAATCAAAGACTATTGTTGGATAAATACATTAATGCAAAATAAAATACAAATTTGTGAATGGCAAAACAAATTATTTTCCATATGCATATGGAGTGCAAAACGTTTCACATGACTTGCTTCTCGCCGTACCACTGATTTTTATATATATACATATATAAAAATATATAATATATATTTTATATATATAAATATATATTAGTACTGTATACATCGAGTATTTGTAGTGATAGCCTTTGACTCCAGTCTCCTCTTTCCATATTTTTAAGAATGCTGTTGCATAAATCATGATGATAATAATAATAACACAGTATATCAGTACTCACCGCTCATCATATCGTCTGGAGTGCGTATTTCTACGTCTAACAACAGTCTCATTCTTGATGGTCTTGTGTTCACTTTCAGAGGTTGAGGATGAAGAGTTTGTTGTAGCTGCAGATGAGGACGATACAGTTGCTGCCATTGTTACCATGGTTGTCATGCTAGATGTCGCCTTCGTGGATGATGAGAATTCTCTAACACCGATCGTCTGCGTCTCGTCCTTTCCCTTGTCTTCCTTTTCTCTGCTGCGTTCCTTTGAATGGATGGGTTCAATCTGTCTCAAGGCTTCGGCAAGGTCATCCTTAGACTTAATTGGTTCGACCTGTCTTAATGCTTCTGCAAGATCTGCTCGGTGATGTTCCGTCTTATAGGGATCAACCTTGTGTGGGGTATCACTCTTGTGCGAGTCATCCTTATGTCGAATAGGATCAATGTCCCGGATTGATTCTGCTATATCACATTCTGGTCCTTGCGGTGTGTTGGCTGTGGTGAGGGTCACATCATCTGTTACAAAGATAACAACAGCTGAGCATCTCTTACATTTCTTAGCTAATTATATTTTTTTTACATTTTATATTTAATTGTTTGTAGGTACCATTAAGATCAAGAAAAATTTATTAATTGCAGCATCTTGTTAGTAAAACAATGTTAATGAAACATACAACCTAATTAACTAGTCAAAAGACTATCTGTAAAAGCAACTGATGATATAAAAGTAATTCAATAACCCAAGTGGCTTTTCCTAATTATACACAAATTAACATAATTTTCAGGGTAATAACTGGATCATGGGTGACAACTTACTGACAAATAATCAGAATACAGTAGAAGTGTAGCGCATTGTTGATAACTGATAAACAACAAAGCATAATCATAGTGAGATAAGATTAAAATAATTTAAGAGACTACAAAATGTTTTAGATGCACAAGTAATGATAAAACATGTTAGCAACATAGGCAGACTAAAACTTGGTTACATTTCTGATACAATCTGCATAGAATGTTCGGTGATCAAGTGTTAAAGGTGTGTACGTCTGATACCATACTACTTGTGTAAAGGAGGAAATGTAGATGTTTATCTCTCAGAATGTTCAGTAATATGTTTATTGTTTGTCATGTGTGTGTCTATGTATGTATTAACACGATGTACTGAACGGGGTGAGAATAGCTTGAGCTACCTCATCCCTTTGTGTGTATTTTACCTCAATAAACTTATTTCAATTTCAAGTGTTAAAGGAGACTGCTTGAATTTACACAACCATAATAAACCTTGAACAGAGAAGTACTATGATTAACTGCAAATTCCCCAAGTGTTGTTATTGGCAAGAAAGTTATAGTATGTTAATACTGATTTGATTTCGTTTTTGAGAAAGTACAGTACAGAATGACAATTTGATAATGTAGCACAACAAATTCTAATGGAATCTTATGAATTATATCACACTATCTTTTTGGTCTGCTTGCAAGATAACATCAGGAAAATCCAGTACTTAATACTGTAATAAATTTGGGAAACTCTATACTGTCATGTAAAATATAACTCATGTTTAAAAAATTAAAAAAAACAAAAAAACGAAGGAACTTAAGTTTACCTGTTTTTCCTTAAGCTTACTTTACCGGTATGGTATTCTGAGACTTGCATATTAATTTGTTCAATAATACTAAAGAATAATGAAGAAGAATAAACTCTTACCTGAGGATGAATCAGAGGAATGGTCTGGCTCTAGGCTCTCAGATTCAGGCTTCAAAATAGATTTAATTTCTTTGGAGTCTTCCAAGCTTGAATCCTTCTTCAGCACACCCCTAAGCAGTTTAGCTTCATGCTCTGGAGATCCAATGGAAGGTGGTAAAGGACTATCAGATTTTAGAATTCCCCTTGGATGTTCAGACTCTGAAAAAGAGGCCCGACGAGAGTCGGAAGAAGAATGCTTGAGGATAGATCGAGGACTGTCCCGCTGTGCTTCTCGTGAGCCTCCAGAACCATCACGTTTCAGGATACCTGAAAATGACAAAATTTAATTAGTTCTCTAATTATTTTTCTAGTGATAAGTGCCCTTCTCAAATAATATCCAAATACAGTACTCTAGTTTTCAACTTTCACTCATTCATTAATTCTCTGACAAATGAAAGCTGAACACACGATTCAAGAGATGTATAATATAGAATTTTTTTAGTATAAGGGTTGTGTAAGCTAAATGCACTAGGGAAGGAAGTAGCTGAGGCTACCTCCATACTGTACATGAATACACTAGCAAAGGGAAAAGTGGGGGAGGGTTGGAAGAGAATACAATATGTACAGTACTTTAATATAAAAAAATCAGATACCATTCTCGCCCTACGACTAACTTTGTGTGGGGTTGGAGCCCTGGCCAGAAAGGATTAACTTTTTGTCAATCCTTAAACGTTTGCCACTATTCACCCAGCAGTAATTGGGAACCTGGTTGTAAACAAATTGGCAGGTTATGTTCTAGGGAAAAACTAGTTGGACAAGGTTTAACATGAGTTTTAGGAAATGAAAGGAGAGCTGTAAGCCTGCTAACCCACCTGTGAGAAAAATAATTAGCAAGAAAATGTGTACTGAGCAAGAAGACTTATTTTGTGCCATTTAGATTTAACAAATCAGTACATCAGAATTTTCATTACCCGAGTAATGTTTGCAGCCATACTATTAGTTACCAATCTAGTCCAGATTTGAGGATAATCAGAAGTTGTAGCCACAACAAGCTCAGCTATTAACAGCCTCATGATGGCTGTGCCAGTCTCAACAACAGCACTTTTCAGCTATCATTCATTCCTAAGCTGACATACATTTGGAACATGTCCTCTCCACATATAGATACCCATCAAATAAAATCAACTAATCACAAAGACTTGGACACTGTTGGCTTCAACGTCATCCTGAACTGAACATGATTGTAACCTAACATTAAATCAAATTTATTACAAATGAGAAGCTAACACAAGATGAGCTGATACGGATTAACAATCCTTAGGCTGCAGCTTCATTAGGAACTTTAGGATTCCTAATTAATCCTAGTTTTAGTTATTAAAAAAAATCAGGCCACATAGAAACAAAAGATTTTTCTTTGTGCAGACAGGCTTGCAAGGCCTAAATACTCCTAATCAGAATGCCTCTGCCCTTCAGATTAAATTCATAACAAATGTAAGACATGATATACATGTATTAAACGAAGCCTCATATTTCTCCGATCTGAACCCAGTTTTAGTCAGTGGACATGCACACAGGTTTTGTTCCTTGACAAGGGGGGTAGAAATAGCCTAAGCTACTCTATCCCTTTGAGATGTATTTCTTTCTTGTCTCAATAAACATACTTGAACTTGTTCCTTGATACTCGTGAGATTGGAGTCATGATGTTCTTGTTCTGTCGCCAATAATGAAATTTAATTTGTATAACTTGCATACAATTAACAAAATACGCTTGACTGTCATTTGGCAGATTTTCTGCTCATATAATAAAAATGTTGAACAAGTACTGCAATTATCAAAAGAACGCGCTAGGCTAGAGAGTATTTATGCACCGTGGTACAGAATATTCAAAAACCTTGATATTAATATAGAATATTCAGGTCACTTGATATTATTCAGGATGACAATACGAGAGCAGACAGCTACAAGATGAGCCATGTTAGAGTTTCGCCAATATTATAATCGGGACAATTCGCTTAAAGGAACAGTAGAATAGCAAAATTTCTGGTCATCCTGGAAATCACGACAGTATACGAGAGATATAAGACGGTCTGCAGAACAATGCTATTCCTTACGGGTTATTCATGCCCGTGCCACCTCTTGGGTGGCTTAATCTTTATCTATCATTAATCAATGCTATTCAAAACAGTAAGGTGGCAAGTCTTACTGCTGTTAGTTAATAAAGAGGGATTACGTTAATCTACGTAACCTAACCAGATAATTTTCCTTACTCCCGATTGCCGAGGCATTATATATTATCACAGGTTACGGCACACATTATTTGCAAGGGTGTGTGCAATATGCAAACTGAGGTTATCTTTGAATTTGTCTTATCTTGGAGACGATGAGTCACAACGAAGCTGAAGATCTGATGAATAAACTACTCATCAAAAATAGAGAAATTCGTTGTTTCGATTCGTCCTGGACCATTTATCAAATCATTCTCGGCTTCAAATTTCATTTTTTGTCCATCAAACATTCTTGACAGCTTGATGTGCAAGTTTATATTTTTCACATATACACTGTCTTAGCACGAGGGATTTGATTGTCTTTTGGCTAGTTATCAAACTCATCAGTCACCGCGAAGTTGTCACATATTAAAAAAAAACAATGCATGGAAAGGCAAAGTATCCCTCACACACATCTTACCTTCAAAGAGCACAGAAAGAAGGTAGGCGAACCCCGTCGTCAGAACGACCCATGTTAAGAACCACCATGTTAAGAACCACCATGTTAAGAACCAGAGTGAAATAACTAAGAATATAGCCATATTCCTGCTCCACCTTAACCTCACACAGTTCCTCAAGACACACAGCCTGGCACTACACCACCTCCCACACCAATGGCAAGCAGCTCTAAGATAAGATAACGCGGAAAACACACATTTGACACGGAAACAAATATTAATATCTTTTCCCCCACCACTCAATTCAGTCCCTCTAAAAACGTAGTAGCTTAATTTCGTGACCCATCAAACTGCGGAACAGCACATGTTTAAAATCGCCAATAATGGCTTCCTTCTGATATATTTATGTAAATTATAACATCCTGGGACAAAAGGACACTGCCATTGTAACATATGGTGGGCGAAGGGTATAATTTACAAATGGAAATTATAGTACGAGTTACAATGGCAATGAGATTATACAATGGATATCAAATTCACTTGAACGTGTATAGAAAAGAACGAGTTAATCCAAGAATTAGAAACCTTCCATATGGAGAGAAAGAAGGGTTAACATTCTTTTGAAAGGTGTCAAGTACAGTACGTACTTGGGTCAAGATTGTGGGTTGTGTGTCAGCCCGTCCTCCAAACAAAGACCCAAAAGTGATTCCATCCACCCGCCAAACCCGCTGGTGATGAATGAAAAACGGTTTACACACGACTCAACTGATTTCGTTCGAATACTTCCGGAACAATTGCTTCACTGACGAATTTTGTTCGAACCACAACGCTGTAAATGCTTCACCCACGTACTACAAATACAAATAATCGCCAAAAGAACCTAAACACCTGACCTAACTATGGCTATATATGCACAATAGGCTATTATAATAATTTATATTTGAGAAAATTTCCGTTTTGAATGAACAGGGTGTAAAAATTTATGAATGCATCTTTGGGGTCGACCACTGGATGTAATGGACTTAAGTCCAGGACGAGTTGCAGTAATGTATAGGTTTGGCGGCTGGATTAACGAGCTTGAATCTTTGTATGCGAGGACGGGCTGACTTTGCTCATGTCCATACCTCTATAAACGTTTCACCCACGTACGGTGAAGCACAATTGCTAACAGAACCCAAATACCTAACCTACCCTTAGTTAGGCTTTACTATACAACAAATTCTAGTATTCAGTAACTTTAGTAAATTTAATATTTGGAATACAGAGTACTTTACAATTGATGCGCCTTGGAGTTTGCCCGAAACGCTTTGCGTAATAGTGGCTTTAGGCATTGTATGTACTAGCTCTACCTATAAGTCAACCAATCTTTGTAAAAATTTCTTGTATGTATGTACCTTACCTAAATAATTTTTTTTTTTTTTTTTTTTTTTTTTTTAACATTTTGCTGCAGCGTGGGTGGGAATGGATTGGTAACTAGGCTACAAATAACTGCCACCGTACCCAATACCCAAGCATATAATCTATAAATCTATGTATTTAGGTAAGTAGCTTAGCCTAACATTTTAAAAGCACTACGATCACCTTCTGTGGTCGTTCAATAAATCTCTGAACTCAAATGTTTGACAAATCTCTCACCCTGTCCACGGACGACAGAAGAAAATGTATATATGCTAGTTAGCATTGTAAATGTGTGGCCACGTCTGTGGTAGAAAATAATAATAATAATAATAAAAATATAAACTATAATATATAATATTTAATGAGCTAATACCCGCTGTGATAAGAGGTTGCCTTATAAACAAAATAAAACTTACCAAGTTCAAGTATGTTTATTGAGACAAGAAAGAAATACATCTCAAAGGATAGCTTTGATAAATAAAATAAAAGTAGCTTAGGCTATGTCTAACCCCCTAAAACTTATCCCCCCCCCCGTCTTTGTCCCCGATTATCTATATAAAGTCGTAATGGCTTGGCGCAATACCCCTGATAATTGCCATGCCCCTGATTATAAAGCCCCTTGCCATAAATCAACAGCACAAGATCCATGGCAACTGATAAGGGCAAACTTTTGCCGATTACGTGCTACTGTATAATATTTAGATTATGTTCTGGAATGATACAAGCCTATGGGGCGATGCACTTCTTATGTTTATGATATGGAAATTATTTCGAATTCGAATATTTATGTTCCAAATGTGCCAAATTATGCAGTAGGTATCGATGACCTCCGATACAGGATAATGTAACCTGTGCATGTCAAAAACCAACACAAAACATAATGTCAAGAATTTCGTCAGCTGCTTGATTTGCAACCCATCCTAGTACTTTTTTTATAACTTTTTTGCACCATAGTACAAACATTGATGTACTAAGCAATTAGATAGTAGAGCTTTGTACTATTCACTTTATAGTCCGAAACAAATTAAGCGAAAAAAACGAACTTAAATATTCCTAGGCCTAGTATAGTACACACATGTACTATATTAGGCCTCAGATAGCGTATATTATCCGAGTTCGTCTTTGCGACATTAGTAGAAAATCGTTTTCCGGTTTATTCGAATTCAATAGTACCGATTTCTACTTTCTAATTGTGTTGGTCAGTATATGTACTATGGTTCTCATGGTTTCTGTAAGTACTAGTATAACTGTAAGATGGGCTGCATAC